CTCCATTGGCAAAGACCACACCTGGGGGTGAAGAATTTGGAGGGAGACTCTGTATCCCTCTCCACACCTTACTTTCTCTTCCCTGACTCACCTCCCCAATCCCCATCCTCCATTCTGCCCCCACTCAGTGCTTCTGAGGTCCTTACCATATCCCTGGAAGACTTGGTCAACGACAGCGATTTTCCCCCGGCCAGAGAATGCTTCAGCTTGGTCCACCAGGGCCTCCCGGATGGCTTCTGTCCCACACAGCATGACTGTAGGCCTTGGCCCCAGGTACACCGTGAAGACACCCCCATATTTCTCTTGAAGCTGCCAAGCATACCCAGCCCCAGGGTTGCCGTTAGTCAGTGTGTACCTCTTTGGCCAACCATGTTGTTAAACCATTAAAACACTTACATTTGATTGATAAGTAGCTGCTGCCCCAAGACCCTCCACCCCAGGACCCAGCAACTAAAAGATTAACCCATCACCCACACACGGTCCATGTGATTGGTGCCCTAAGCAGTAGAGATGGTCAAATATTTCTAATATGACCCTTGCACATACCCTTGAGTCTAGACACATCTCCCTGGCATTGCAACTAAAGAATCATCCTTCTTGTGACTCAACTTCAACCTGCTCTCTGCCTCCTGACAATTTCCCTAGAGAACTAATCTGAATTCCCTGCTTGGTAGACATGAAGAGAAACTGATGGCTCTCTGGGGGTGATCACGATATTTGAAAAGCCATCTACCAGTACAGCCCCTTGGGAAACTCCTTGGCTGTACTTACTGAGGCTGAACACATGTATGCTCAGTGACTCAGCAACTACACTCTCAACAAAATGCCCAACAAAAATATGTATGTGGATTCACCAAAAATTGAAGAAGGACATTCACAGAAGCCTTACAAATGAAATGCTGGCACCACTGATACAGAATAAAGTGTAATGATGTATTTATGCCATGGAATACTATGCAGCAAATGAAAAGGAAGAAACCACTGCTACACCTAACAACGTGAATGAAACTCACAGATATAATGTTGAGCGAAAGCAACTAGACATAAAAGAGCCCATAAGTCATGATTCTATTTAGATCCAGTTCAGTAAAATAACATGAACCTATGGTGTCAGGATGGTAAGAGGGTAGTGCCTGGAAGGTGACATGAAGGTGGTTTCTGGGGACAGGCTGTATTGTTGCTTATCTTCTCAACAATTACATGAGGATGTTGATTTGGGAAAATTCACTGACTGCACACTTATGATTTGCATTTTTTAGGGTGATGTTCAACTTCAATAAAAAGTTGACTTGAAATCATAAAAAGATTAAGTTTACTTAAAACTTACATTGGTCTCTGCAAAACCTCCTCATGAGTCTCCCTACTTCCATTCCTGTCCCCTGTACAATCATTTCACTACCAACCAACCCCATCCTCCCCCACCCCAAAGCCAGAGTAATCCCGTTAAAATGTAACTTAATTAATATCCCTAACCTGCTCCAAACCCTCCAGAGCTCCCACTGCACTGAGAAGAAGACCTGAAGTCTCCATTGTGGACCACATGGCCCTACATAACACTGCCCCGTCACCCCTCTGACTTCTCCTCCCACTCAACCCTTCCATCACTCACATCCAGCCTCTGTGTTGTCCCCCAAACATGCTGAACTTGCCCCTGTTTCAGAGTTCTTGCATTGACACCTGTCTCTCTCTTGTGCCTTCCACCTGCACCTTTCAGATTCTCTGCTCAGAAACAAAGCGAGATGGAGCCTTTCCCTCACCACTCAATCTAAAGTAGCTCCCACCACTTTCTAAAACGTCACTCTGCTTTATTTTAATCATAACCCTTGTCTACTTAATATTTCCTTATTTGTTTATTTTGTATGCCCTGTCCAATGACACATCAAGCATGCCTAAAATATTCCCCAGCAAACAAAATGTTCCAGTAAATTTTGACTGCACAAGTGATTAAATGAGTAGATCAAAGTAGCTGTCATTTAAATTACTATACACCAAGGTCTATGCAATATTTCTTTTATTCTTGTGGTCACCATCACATTTTACAGAAGAGGAAGCCAAGAGTAGGAGTTGAGTAATAGTCAGGGGTTGAATCTGGAACACGAACCCATGTTTGTCTGACTCCAGAAGGACTTGGGAGCATATGGGGGAATGGAGGTGGAGCAGTGCCATCTCCCAAACCTGTCTCATAATGACACCCACTAGCCCATGCCCTCTTCCCTCCTCCTCTCTCTCCATCTCTCTCTTCCTCTCTTTCTCTCTCTCTGCCTTCCCTCTCTCTGTCTTTCTCTCTCTCTCTCCACAAAGATTCAATAATAATGGAAGATCAGGGACAGCTTGAGGATCCTCGAAGGGTCTATGGAAGAGCTTTAGGGGGTCTGCAACTCTCAAAATTTTATGCTAAATGTGTATGGATCATTGTAGGGGAGGGAGCCCACAGCTTTAATCAAATTCCCAAAGGATTTAGTGATCCCGAAATTGTTAGGCAGCTTCAGTCCATGACAGCATTGGAGAAGAAGAGAATTCCATCCTGGACCCAGGTGCCCCTCAGAGAAGTCCCAGCAGGGCGACTGTGGACAAGTGCCCTCCCCAGGGTGAGCTTCACTGTCTATACCTCTAAGATGGAGATAGCTTCTCTCCCAGCCCTCTTCTTGTAACCAAGACCTGATGAAGTCCCATGACAATACAGATAAATGCTGGCCACACAATGCTGAAAGAAAAAACTAACTCCAGGAATTTACACAAAAGCATGTGAAATAATATGTGAAATATATATTCATATATATATATGTGAAATAATATGTGAAAGTGAAATGATATGTGACTCTTGTGATGGATTGAAGTCAATGAAAGTGAAATATTATGCACTTGGAGCCTCCACATCTGTGATAAAATGTTGTCTATTAAAAGCAAAGCGATGACAAGCCCACAATTCAGGAGTGTGTTTGCCATAGTGAGGGAAAGTGGACAGAGAAGCACAGGGCAGGTGGAAGTGACTGCCAGTGTTCTACTTCTCTGTTGGATAGGGTGTTCATGGCTATAGATTACATTATTAATAACTAAATAGATCATGAAACATGAAATCATGCCTGGAAAGCAGGGATACAGAGCCTAGTAAATGCTCCACAGTGTCAGCTACTATTACCTTGCATTAATATTCATTATTCTAATCACTCTGTAAATGGTCTTCTGTCCTGTTCTCCCTCCTGCCTCCTCCTCGTCCTGACATTGCCATGAGCCAGTCTTTGCTGTCCTTTGTTTGCAGAGGAGAAACCTACTTAATTGTTGTCACTGCCACTTTTTCTGTCTCTTCAAGTGGTGCGCAGTCACCCAGGAACACGACAGAGGGTGGCAGAAGAGGGTGAAATTCCACAGGTGTGTTTCACACACAGATGTTTCTTCATGCCTAATTGCCTGCTCCAGGGACAGTGCCCATGCACTTCCAGTAGAGCAAGGACATCTCAGACTGATCAGATCCACCATGCACAGCTCCATGCCCCTTACTCACCAACCTTTACGCATCCCAGCCCTGAGCCTGGAAGGATGCCTCACTCCTTCTGGGGAATGATCTCCCCATACAGAGGCAGAGAGCCCCTCTCAGACCCCATCCATCTGTGTCTCACCTTTAGGAAGGATTTGAGTAGGCCTCTTCTGTCCATCTGCAGAAGGTTCCCCAAGAAGGGCAGAGGACGGGGTCCTGGTGGGAGGTGGCCATAGGCTTTTGGGTGGCCCCTGACCAGGAGAAGCAAGAGTCCCATGAGGAGAACAAGGAGGAGGAGCATGCTGAGCTCCATGGTCCCAGTCTGACTGCCTTCCAACCCACTGCAGCCTCGAGCTGGGCTTTTTATACTGAGCCTGCCTCCCCACCCAGTTACATAAGTTCCTCCATTCCCCACCTCCTCTCTCTTCATTGTCTGGGAGTGTCAACATTAGGGAGAGGAGCTAAGGGACCCATAATTCCTGTTCTGGCACTCTGGTGAACTGATCACTCCCTACCTATGCACTCTGTCCCTAGATGTTGGCAGATGTGACATGGTAGAGATGCCAAGGTCCACGTGAGTGTTTGTGTGTTTATATTTCTGGGTATGGCTGAGCATGCACTGTCTACTTTTTTGGCCATGTTTGTGCATTTAGGCTTGCATGCATTTGTCTGTGCCTGCTTCCATCTGTGTGTGCTTGCATGGTTTTCATATGTGAAAGGGTGTTTCTATTTATGTGAATGAGTTGACATGTGTCTCTGTATAAGTGTGCATGTGTTTACATGCATATTTTTGCATGTGTGTGGACTTATATGTATTTATATGGTTGATACCTGAAGGTGTGTGTTTCTTTGCATGGTGTTCGTGGTATATATCACTGTTTGTGAGTCTGAGTGTGCTTGTATGTTTGTGCATCAACCAGTTCTTGTCCTTAAAGAGCCTACAGACCCGCAGGGGCTATCTCTGCAGTCCCCCTTCCTTCATCCTCCCTTTTGTGAGAGCCACCAATGGGAGTGATGGGAGAAACAGAAGGAGGGGAGAGAGACACTGAAGCAGTGAGACTCAGAGATGGAGGCAGTCAGGTGGAGAGGCACAGAGAGACACTGAGACCTGGCAGGTGGAGCGTTCAGCTCTTCTGGATGTCTTATTGTTCTGACCAGTGTAAGGTGGTTCACTCCCTGCCTCTGCCTCTGTCTTCACAGTGCAGGACCTTTCTCTGACATTCGCTGACAATCTGTTTGTATGTACCTCTCTCTTCTGCTATTTATTATGTCTCAGTGTCTCTGTTTCTCACTTTAGACTCTGAGCTCCACAGCTCAGACTGGGTCAAGTTTGATTGACGTCTGCTGAGCTTCCATGTATCTCCATCAGGACTCTGAGATTGCCCAAACCCACCCTCTGAAAGGCTGAGTCCATATTTACTGAATATGAGAATGAATGTGTGCACGTCCCTCTGTCATGGCCTGGGGCCTGGCTTTCCCCCTGTCTCTGTCTCTCTCTTATAAAAAAGAGTGGAGGAAGATGAGACAGCATCTTTCTTTCAGTGTTAGGCAAAACCCTTGCTGGTCCCAGGATTCTGACCCTGGCAGTTGAGTCATATTCCTCCAAACAGGGAAAAATGGAGCAACAATCCTGACCTCTTGCATTCAGGGATGGAACCTGTACTTTCCTGACCTTGGAGAGCTGCCACCATGGAATTTACTGAACCTAGGTACTGGCTCCTGCTGTGCTATGTGATCTGGCACTGAGCTTGGGTCCTCACTCCATCCTAGGAATCACTGCTGGGAATGGATGAAGTGCTTTACACAGAGTAACTCACTTATCCTCACCCTTTGAGGCAGGTGTGGTTGTTATCCCCACTTTATAAACACGGTAAGTGCAGCACAAAGAGGTTGAGATTGTTTCCCAAGGTCACATTGTGGGTTAGAACTGCATTGTCCAATATGGTAGACTCTTGCCACTTGTGGCTGTTAAGCATTTGAAAGATGATTAGTAGGACTAATTAAAACTAAAATTTAATTTAATTGCAAAATTGACACTCTATTCAGTTATTTGAAATCTTCTAAGTACATTTGGAACAATGTTGGTATGTAAATCTCCTTTTTCAATTGTAACTTTCATGAAATCTCAATATAGATCAACTGTTTCTGAAAAAAATTTAGGCTCCCAGTTAGGATGTGCTATAACTGCAAAACAGACAACAGATTTAAAAGACTTTAAAGACAAAAGATATGGTGAGAGGAAGAGGCAGAACCAGAAAGAAACCCAGAGACAGGGAGAGGCCAAGAAATGGACAAGTGATGTCACACAGAAATGGAGGCAGACAAAGGGAAGGTGCAAGAGACAGAGAGAGAGAACAGGAGAGCAAGAACAAACCACAGGGACAGGAAACTGCAGGGGGTGAGGATAGGGCTGGCATCTGTGAAAAAGCTTATTGTTATACGTGAAAGTGTATTTGTATTATTATTATTTTATTTTTAAAAGTTGGCTGAGGTATAATTGACATACAATTAACGGCATATATTTAAAGTGTACAACTGGGTCGATCTGACGCATTGCACACCTGTGAAACCATCACCACAATCAGGATAATGAACATATCGCTCACCCCGAAAGTCTCCTTGTGCCCTTCTGTAACTGGTCCCTTACCCCGTTACCAACCCCCTCCCCAGGCAATCGCTGATCTGCTGCTTGTCCCTACAGATTAGCTTCCATTTTCTAAACTTTATATAAATGGAATCTCACATTATGTTCTCTTTTGCATCTGCCTTCTTCCACCCAGCATAATCATTTTGAAGTCTAACTATTTTGAAGTCTAATTATTTTTAAGTCTGTGGCAGGCTGAGTAATGGCCTCCCAAATACGTCCACCTCCTAATCCCTATAACCTGTGAATGCGACCTTACATGGTAAAAGGAACTTTGTAAATGGGATTAATTTAAGGCTCATCAAATGGTGAAATTGTCCGTGTTTAACAAGGATGTAATCACAAGAATCCTTGTAAGAAAGAGGCAAGAAGTTCAATGTGAACAGTAGGAGAACTGACGATGGAAAGCAAGAGGTTGTAGTGACATGAAGGGGCCCCGAGTAAAGGAATGCAACTTCCAGAGGAAAGACAGCCATGTCGACACCTTGACTTTAACCCAGAGAGATTGATTTTGCATTCTGACCTCAGAACTGTCACAGAACAAATTGTGTTGTATATGCCACTAAGTTTATTGAAGCACTGCTAAGAGACTAATATAAGTTTCACTCACGTTTTTGCAGATGTCACTCTCTCATCTCTTTTCATTGCTGAGAGTACTCCATTGTATGGACAATCCACTGTTTGATTACCCATGGATGTGTTGATGGCCATTTGGGTTGCTTCCAGTTTCGGGCTATTACAGCTTTAGCTGCTTATGAATATTTGCATACTAGTGTTTGCATGTACATTTGCTTTCATTTCTCTTGAGTAAATACCTATTTGTGGACCAGTTAGGTCATACGATAAGTATACATATTTTATAAGAAACTGCCAACCTGTTTGCCAAAGTGGTTGTAAGATTTTACATTCCCAGCAGCTGCATATGAGAGTTCCAGTTGCTCCACATCCTTATCAACACTCAGGATTGTCAGTCTCTTTAATTTTAGCCTTTCTGATAGGTGTGTAGTGGTATCTTATTGTAATTTTCATTTTAATTTCCATAGTGACAAATGGTGCTGAACATCTTTTCGTGTGCCAATTTGTCCTATGTATGTCATCTTTGCTGAAGTGTCTGGTCAAAGCTTTTGTCCATTGTTTAAATTGGGTCGTTTGTTTTCTTACTATTGAGTTTTGAAAATTCTTTATCCATTCTGAACACAAGGCCTTTGTCAGAGAGGTGATTTGTAAATATTTTCTCCCAATCCATGGCTTGTCTTCTTGTTCTCTTAACAGTTTCTTTGATAAGCAAATGTTTTTAATTCTGATAAAGTTCAACCTATCCTTGTTTTTATGGATTGCACTTTTAGTGTCATATCTCAAAAACGTTGCCCAAGCCAAGGTCACAAAGATTTGATCCTATGTCTTTTCCTAGAAGATTTTCAGTTTGAGGTTTTCCTTTTAGGTCTATGATAGATTTGTAGTCAATGTTTTGCATGAGGTGACAAGTATGGATCAAACCTCCTGTTTTGGCATACGAATGTCCAATTTTCCAGCACTACTTGTTGAAGGTATTGTTTCTCCACTGAATTGTCTTTGCACCTTTTTCAAAAATCAGATGAACATGTATGTGGGTCAATTTCTGGTCTCTCTATTCTTCTATTCATTATTTTGTTAATCTTGACTACAATACCAAACTGCCTTGATTATTGTAGAGTTACATTTCCTGAGATCAGATGTTGTAATCCTTCAACATTGGTGTTCTTTTTCAAAGTCATATTACTTGAAGTCTTTTGCATTGTGTCTGAATTTTAGAATCAGTTTGTCAATTTCTACAAGGAAAAAACAGCCTGCTGGAATTTTGATGGAATGTGCTGAATCCACAGAGAACTGACATCTTAACCATAAGAGTCTTCTGACCTATGAAGATAGTATATTTCTCCATTGATTTAAATCTTTATGGTAGGCAGAATAATGGCTCCCCAAAGATGTCTACATACTGATAACCAGAACCTGTGGATATTTTAGGTTTGATAGCAAAGGAGAATTATCCTTGCAGATGGGTTTAAGGTTACTACTCAACTGAATTTAAGATATGGATAGTTTCTGGATTATTCAGGTCGATGCAATGTAATCATGAGGGTCCTCAAAAGTAAGTGGAAAAGGGAAGGAGAAGGATGAGAGGAAACCTGACTATAGAAGCATGATCAGAGAAGTACGTTATTGTTGGCTCTAAAATGGAGGAAGGGACACAAGCCAAGGCATGAAGGTAGCCTCTAGAAGCTGGGAAAAGGCAAGGAAACAGATTCTCCCTTAGAAATTCCTCAAAGGGACCCGGGCCTCCTGACACCTTGATTTTGCCCAGTGAGACCTATATTGTACCTCTGACCAACAGAACTAAAGATCATAAGTTAGTGTTTTTTATATCATTTAATTTGCGTTAGTTTGTTATAGATAGCAGAAACAGAAAGCCAATACAATCTTGTTTAATTTCTCTAAGCAATATATGGTAACTTTCAGTGTGCAGGCCTTACACATGTTTTGTCAGATTCATTCCTAAATATTTCATATTTTTGATGATATAGCAAATTTTCTTTGAAAACTTCCATTTCTGATTAGTCATTGCTAGTGTATAGAAATACACTCGAAATTTTGTCAATGTTGTATCCTGCAACCTTGCTAAAACCCACGTTACTTCTAGTAGATTTTGTGTGTGTGTAGATTTCATTAGATTTTAACAATCTTGTC